CTTCAAGCTCTTCTTTTTTGCTGGGTCAACCGCCAACAAGGAAGCAGATCGAGAGGTAACGGCATGGTAAGGAGGGAGAGCCACGGACGTTCGGTCGTACAACTCGCGAAGGCATGCATTTGCAGCCTGGCCACGGGTGTAGACAATCAACTGCTCAATCCCACTTACAACGTAATCAATGATCCCCAAGTCAAACTGGTGCAGCGGGTCAACAGTGAGTGCCTTGTAGATGTTGTCCGTGGCCTTGAACATGGCGTTTTCTTGGCCCCACAGACCAATCTGTTTGAAATGACTGGCAGGTCGTTGCTCGCGAAGCGCTTGGCGAACGGTGTCATGAGACCGAGTTGCTGACTGGCGATGCACAGCGAGCGATGGGTTGGACAGATTGGCGTTGGAAATGGTGCATTTGGGACACGGCTGAAGAGCTTTGTGGCCACGAGTGAGAGAAACAGTGGCAAATTCTTGAAGGTCGCCTTGATATTGCTGCAGGTATGGAAAGAGACAGTAGAAGTAGCCGTCAGGGCCGCGGGCACAAAACCCGTCTTGAACTGCATCCATCCAGTCATGGTCGAAGAGAGCGTCCATGCACTTGTGGAAAACAGTGCGACGGTAGAGTGACTACATGATACACAGAAATGAAACGGGGTGGTGAGTGCGATGGTTGGGTATCAGCAGAACAAGGCCAATGCAGGCGACGGCAATGCGCAAACCTTGGCAGACTGGGAAAGGTTCTGGAAGGCTTGGTCGGTGGGAATGGGGATGAACCCAACCAAATACATTGCACGATGGTCGGGCTTTGAAACGATATCAGGATCAATACCAGGGAAGTATACGTAAATCGGCCAAAGCTCTTGGTGCTTGGAGATGCTGGTCTTGTCCGAATAAAAGACGATTGGAAACACAATACACGGGTAATCGGTGTCGCCAGAGTCACAGTTGCACGTGTAGGCCGTCCATTCCCATTCCTTGGCGGCAGCAGGATCGCAGTAGGCGCGTTTCCCTGATGCATATGCGCGACGGGGACAGATTTGCATAACGTGAAGAAACTTGCGCAAGTGGAATAAATGGGCAATAGTGCTCATGAGGTTGCGATGGACAAACCAAATAGGCGGACAATCCGGGTGGACTTGGACTGGGGTTGTCTCAAAGGCTTGGTAGTACGGATTCTGTTTTATCATGTCGATGACATGATCCAAAGACTGGAAAGAAAACGGCTCAGCGCCAATGACACAAGGGTCCGTAACAAGCTTCAAAAACTGTTTGAAACCAGGCTTGCTCATGCCCAGCTCAACGAGAGAATAGTACGCCATATTCAACTCGCGAACTGTTGCAAAAGGCGCAATGAGACGATTGATCCCACCTGTCCATGGAGAGCACAAAGTGGTCAGCAAGAAACCCAAGCTGGGAATGTGACTGAGAAACGGGAGCGCACCAGAAAAGGGCCGAGGATTCGCCGTTTGGAGTGAATGAGATGGGAGTTCAAAACTAAGAGGTGATGGATTGAGGAGCTCCCTGATTCGGGGCGGTATATCAGCAGTTGGCCGCATGTCAGTTGCATTGCGGCGGCGGCGGCGCTCGTTTTCGGTCTGTTCTTGGTCAGAATCTTGGTGCTCGTCGCCCAAATGTAGCGTTTGCATGCGATCCAAGTAACCTGCGAGCTCGTCTTCAACCAGTTCTTTTTCCGCTGGATCATCCATGTCAACATCCTCCTCGTCCGTGGTGGAGTGCTCTTGATAGTTAACTTGGTAGCGCTTGGCGACCCGCCTTGTCCGCTGTATATGATACACGTCAGATATGGTGGGGATGCGTTTTCGAGGCAGGAAAGATCCATACGATGACATGGGATGTGTGACCTGAGTGCTCGGAATCATGCTGGTACAGTGGATCTGTGATGGATGGATCTTGCGCCTGACGTCGCGCCGTGGGAAGCTGGCTGCCTGGCTGGCGTTGTACCAACGATGGGCAATACTCCTTTTTGTGACGTGTCCACTGTGTTCTGCCGCGAACTCGGGCGAGGCAGTGAGGACAGGTAAACCGGCGCTGATTGTCGGCGTCAGATTGCTCAGAATCAGACTCTATGCGGTCCGCTGAGCTGGGATAGTCCAGAGGTCTTGTAGTGTTGGCGGAACGAGTGCTCATGGCGTGGTTCATTTGCATTGCTCCATCGCAGTTGCAGGCACTGATTTGGCGACAATGATGGTCGTTATGCAGCAACGGCATTTGACGCACTGTTCTGTCCGTGCAGCAGTCTCTCCTGATGCGAGGATGGTGAAGTTCAACTGTCAGCAACGTGGCACGTGAATTTGAGACACGGTTCTATCGCGTTCCATTGTCAAAGCCTAAGGTCACCGTCACCACATGATAAAAAGGTCGAGTCGTCCCATTCGTTTCTCTGTTGCCTTGTTTTCTTACTCAGGCTCATAGTTCAGACCCCTGACTTCACCCAAACACCTCCAACCATGACCGACTCTCAGAACCAAGGGCAAGCGCAAGGCGTAAAGTGCTGGTTTCGTTCGTGCACAGCCATTGTCTATCCTCACGAATTTGACGAGGTGCTGCAGCCGCAAACGTGCCAGATTTGCATGCGAGTTTTTTGTAACGAGCACCTCGACGAAGCGGAACCGGTTTGCATTGTGTGCATTCATCAGCGCCAAACGCAGGGTTCCTTTTCATTGGGTCGTCAGCGCCGCCGGGTCATCACCGACAATGAGGATGATGATGATGTGCGTCAGGAGGTACGCGTCGTCCCCCGATCTGACTGAAGATCCTTTCCATCCACTGCAGACCTTTAAGTCGGCATCTTCGTAGTCCAATCCCATCCCACATCCATTCCCCACCGCACACTCACACGCCATGAAAATTATTTGCTATTGCGATATGTACCCCATCCCCGTTTCACCCTCGTTTTCGCTGTTTAGACTACCACTGCAGCCAGGACTCCGGCTGTCCGTTCAGTAACTCGTGCACAAGGTTCAACGTCTGCTGGCTCGTCGCGTCAACTCCCGCGCACTCCAGCTCCTTCTGCTGGCCAACGCCAACCAGTCTCCCAGGGTTCGGCCCAAAACCGTCCTCAAGCTCGTGCCACCGCCGAGGACAGGGCCACGGAAACGCCGAGCAAAACATCGGCCCTCAAGGACGAGGCCGAGGCGCTCCGCAGACATGTACCATCCTTGAATCGTGCCTGCCGTTTTGTGGCCCTGTTCCGCTTCGGCTTTGTCTGCCAGGCAGATGAAGAGAAGGCGGCCGACGCATTGAGGTCTGCAGTCGACCTTGCTTTCAAGAGCAAGGGCCTTGATGCGTCCGAGCTCACAACGGAACTGGTCCGTTGTCGAAGCACTGTCACCTATCTTGCCTTGAACCTTGAGCTAACGAGTTGCTGTTTTCCAGTGCTTGCATCTCTTGTCGTCGGCCGAGTCTGCTATCAAGCAGACATTTAAACGGTACACGGACGAGATTACCCCCTCATTTGACGAGTTAGCAAATGCTTACGCACAGATGCAAGCATGGCGCGAAGCGGAAATCGCCAAGCTCGACGACGACGACCCGCGCCCGCCCGCGCTTCCCAAGATGTCCCGCGTGTGCACGCCTTTCGACCTAAATGATTGGTATGTATTCACGCACCCTTTGTGGTTCTCGGCGCCCTTGCCCCCAAACAGGCCCCAACACGGCGGTTCGAACCAGCGGGAGTACACGGGCCAGGTTCCCGGACTTCATCACCGGTTCGGGAAGCTGGTCCGTACGCTCCTGCATGGCAAGCAAGCCAAGGGGGACATGCTGGGCCGGCATATCCGCAAGTATTGGATCACCGGTCCACTGGACTTCACCCGCGCGCCATCTCTGGCCAACTTCGCTCGCCTCGCCCGCTTCGTTGCTGCTGTTGAAGTCTACGCTTGTCTTGTACTGCACGGCAACATCGACCTGCGCACCGCCAAAGCGTCGGCGCGTTACCGTGTCACGCTCGACCACCTCTCGAAGCTCGCCAACTTTTCCTCGGTTCGCTTGGCGTTATGGGCCCATTTGGGCCCCATCATTTTCAGTGCCGGTGACAAGGAACCCGTGGATTTGAGTGCGCATGAGCTTGGTGTGGATTTGTCGGGCGTGGTCAGTGTGGACTTGGACGCAGCAGTGGCGGGCGAAGGTGACGAAGATGGCCAAGACTTGGATGAGTATGGTGAAGACCAGGCGGGCGAGCAAGGCGGTACTGAGTCGGGTGACTTAGGTGATGATGCTGGAGCGATGCGTGGTGAGGATTGAGCGTTTGGTGTCTTTTTTTTTGTTTCCTGCTTTGGTTTCCTTGTTTCCTGCTTTGTTTTCTTTGTTCGCTTTCAAGTCTTCAAGTGTATTCGGTTTAATCGCGGAACGAATGTGGAATGTCTGTATATTATATCTTTTTTGCATTGGTGATATGATAGCCATTGTTCATGCCTAACTGACTGTTGAATAAGTCGCCAGCCTTGAATCGTCAGGTCGGTTACGTCGCAGCATGTGGTTGAATGACTGCTTTCTTGGGGACATTCGATCCAGACTTGTCAGCAGGTGCCGGTTACATAACAGTGTGCGATTGAATGGCCGCTTTCTTGGGGACATTCGATCAAGACTCGTCAACAGGCGGAGCATCTGGAGAGAACGCTGGCGAGTTGGCAGAAGGTGAACCAGCATTGAATGGAATGTCTTGACCAACAACAGCGCCGGATCATCAGGTGTTGTTACGCGTCCCCAGTCATCAGCGGTCCACAGCAGTTGATCGAGCCAAGATTTCTCAACAGTGCTCAACAGCCTCAACAAACGTGATCAACCATGACCACACCCAATTTACCGCCAGACCGATTCATGATGCGTATATATTCACATTGTCGCTGCATTCACGTTATGAATCAAGGTGTGAGGGAATCGTTTCCTGGCTTTCACATATTTTATTCCATCAATAACACGCCATAGTGTCCGTCACATCAAGGCAAAGGAAACAAAAAGGGTTAAGCGCAACCAGTGCGAACTAAAAATGAACCATCCGGGGTTCGAACCCGAGCCGCCACCTTGGAAGGGTGATATGCTACCACTACACCAATGGTTCCTGTTGTGTGAGATGCGCCGTTTTCTTTCTAATATACTCGTTTGTCGAGAGAATTGGATCATGGAGAACAGGACACTTTGGCTGCACCCCTCATCCGATTGTCGATGTTTGACACCAAAGAAGCCTGTCGACGCATGCCATGTCCTGCCCAGAGCATGGTTGCAGCGACCTCTCAGCTTGCTGAGGTGACCAAGCTGGGACGCCACAGAAAGAAAATTAAGGATCAGGCATGAATCGAACCAGCGCCCTCATGATGACCGAAACTTTTGCCAAAACCAAAAAACGACCATAACAGATCAGGCGAGCAAGAGGAAATATAGCGCCACTCCGTTTCGATCAGAGGACCTCCAGGTTATGAGCCTGGCGCGCTTCCACTGCGCCATGGCGCTATAGGTCTTTATTCCATTGTTTATACATTAGACCACAATGATTAGTCTGGCATGAAATGTGTGAAGTCTCACGCTTGGCGAAGGCAAAAAATGAAGCGGTTGCACTTCACTTTTTAGGTCATACTGAGATTCGAACTCAGGTCCCGAGATTCAGAGTCTCGTGTGCTAACCGACTACACCATACGACCGCGTTATTAAATTGGTTGTTTCAAGCCACCGAGTACCCCAAACCCCTGCGATGTGCATATGTGTCCCAGTCCAGGGCCCAAGAAGCTCCAAGTAGCAGTTCGTTGTTGAGCGTTTTCCTGTGCGCTCCTCTTTGTGCCTGCCCCGTGAGCAGCAGATGGCTCCAAACGCTCAGCGACCGATGGGCAGGCAAGCAAGTCAACGTCTTGGTCTGTTCCCTTCCGCAATCCGAAGAGTCCGACTGGTGCAGGCAGGGCTCGAACACGGGCCCGTGAGTGTTGAGGAAAATTGCCAAACTTTTTGTTGGAAGAAATGCTTTAGTGAAGGGGGTCGAAACCAAACCCCTATTAACAACAAGAGGACCTATGGCCAAATGGATAAGGCGCCTGACTACGGATCAGGAGATTCCAGGTTCGATCCCTGGTAGGTTCGTGTTTTGTCTCGCAAACCTGGGCATATGGTTGGCGAATTGCTTCCCGCCCTCAGTGAGCCAGACCTGGCGTCGCCAGCAAGAGCAATCCCCGCAAGAGTTGTTTTAGTTACGCAACAACCGACCGTGCTCAGCTCCGAGACTCAAAATGTCCTTCCCATTTTGCGTTTTGCGTCAAGCGTTGACGTGTTATGCCTAGCAAAAGCGCACGAGAAAATACTATCACGGTTCCGTAGTGTAGTGGTGATCACCCCGGACTTTGAATCCGGTAACCCGAGTTCGAACCTCGGCGGGACCTTTTTTGCTTTTCTCGCGAAAGCAATGGTGACGACTCGTGCTTGTCGTTCGTGCGAGACGACTGGAAGGCTCCGGGTTGCCTGTTCTCTGTGGAACAGTTCGACACACAGCATTTACTCCGAGAGTTTCGCTCGAAACCCTCATTGATTATCCAGTCTTGGTGACCGCTTCAATTACGGCAAGCACACGGTCGACAGCGCCATGGCGCAGTGGAAGCGCGCCAGGCTCATAACCTGGAGGTCCTCTGATCGAAACGGAGTGGCGCTATTTTTTTTTCGAGCCGGTTTGCGTTGTTTTTGGTTTTGGGACAATATTCGGTTATTATCAGGGCGCTGGTTCGATTCCTGCCTGATCCGCGTATTTCATGTCGACGACCAACTGTTTTGTCATCTGGTCTGGTCAGCCAACAGGATGGCCGCCGCACACCGCAAGCTGGGTGGACATTTGCCGAAGCCGTTGGCGAGCTCCGGACTGGCAAACCCAAGACCTGCATGTGTGCCCACGAGCTGAGAACTTTTCGACATTTCGATTATAGTGACAAGCGACCGGCTATGGAGCATGTTCAAGTGGCCGAGCGGTCTAAGGCGGCAGCTTCAGGTGCTGTTCTCTTCGGAGGCGCAGGTTCGAACCCTGCCTTGGACATTTTGTTCTCGTTGCCCAACTTTCTCTTGTAGATCCCAACTTTTTTCACGCTAGTCGCGGAAGTCCGCCACTGCAAGTATCGATTGTGGCAAGAATCGGCCCTCCCAAGTAACAAGTCACCTTAGTATAGTGGTTAGTACTCCACGTTGTGGCCGTGGCGGCCCCAGTTCGATTCTGGGAGGTGACATTGAAGAGAGGCGGTAAACTTTTGCACTTTTCGTGAGCCCCCACTCTCATTTCTCAGTCAGTCAGCCGGACGTGCGCACTGTCGGGCCTTGGGCACCCATCGCTGGCAAGAACACAAGTCCATTGCTTCATTTTTTTTCAAGACGATCTACAAGAACATGCTAGCAACTACAGCCTGCACAAAAGCCATTCCGCTCCAAGCAATGCTTGACCGCAACAAAGATATCCTCCCTCCTTGCTCACCGCCAAAACCGCTTCTTTTGCTGTTGCTGGCCGCTGCCACCCCGAAATGCACTCAAGCTCGCCGCAAAGTCGCCAACGCCATTGACGTCCTCGCCCACAATGACCGACGTTGGCTGCCTGGCCACCATGTCGGTTGCCACCCGGACCAACTCGTCCTTGTCGACCCGCTCAATCTTGTCGACCAACTCGAGCGGCTCCACACGCGTGCCCTGTGCCAAGACTTGGCGGCCAATGTCCTCGACGGTAATCACTTGGCTTTCCAAATTCATCAACAAGCTGCTCTTGAGCTGGTTCTTTGCGCGCTCGACCTCGTCGCCAGCATACTCCTTTGTCATCTGGACCAGCTCGCCTGCAAGCACATTGGCCAAGAACTGGTTGTGCGTGGGCAAGCAACTTGCGGAAATACCAAAGAGCGAGTTTGACCGCGCATAGGCGTGCTGGAAGGCAACACACGATTCCATCCATGCGTAGCGGTTGAGCACGTTGGTGTACAGGCGAGAGTACATGCCCTTGCCTGGCCCGCCCGCAGAGAAGGAGCCGCCGCCACCCATGAGCACTTGCAGAACAGAGAGAGGGAACATGTCGGGGTGGGTGAAGGTGGGCACGGGGAAGGCGACTTGCATGTGCGTTAATGGTTGCTCAAAGTTGGTGTGGGTTGGCGGCGGCGGCGGCACGGCGAGTGTGTGTGTGCCGCCAACATAAGGGGTCGTTGGGTCCTTTGCAATGGTCGAATCTGGCAGAGAGTATAATACCGGGTACGAATGTGAGTGTGGCAAGCCCCGGACTGGGTGAGTGCTGGGTGAGTGTGAGTGGAAAGCAAAACGGACCAGCAGGCACTTTGGTCACAAACTCCTTTTCAACCAATTCACACAGCCACTCGTGCTGGACGCCGGCGCCGGCAATCACCATCCTGGAGGGATGCAGGTACCGCTTGAAATACCGCTCAACAACGGCCTTGTCCATGGATCGCGCCTGATCGGGATCACACACAACGCTGTTGCCCAAGCCCTTGCCGCCGTATGCCACGGCGTGTAAGAGCTCGCCCAAGTACGCCGCGGGATGTGCCAGAATCTCCTCTGCCTCAAATGCCAACGTCGCCCGCGCTTGGTCCATCTCAGCGTCCGTGATGGCCGGGCGCAGCGTGACATCGGCAAGCAGCTTGACGGCCCTTGGCACCTCGTGGGTCAAGACCGATCCTTGATAGATGAGCGACTCGCGAGTCGACGTGCAAAACAGGTTGCCGCCCATTTGCGCCATGGCTTGCATGATATCTTGCTCCGAGCTCGATTGCGTCGACTTGAAGGCAAGCGAAGACACAAAGCGTGAGGCACCGCGGTCGTCCGACGTCTCGTACACGGGCCCAGCATCCACGTACACGCCAACGGCCGCAAAGTGCGAGGTGGTTGGGATGGTGGCAACCGTCAGGCCAGAGGGCAGGCGGGTGGTGCGGGTGACGAGCGAGGCGGCCGAGCTGGCGGCAGTGCGCAGTGGGGCGGCAAGAGCGGCGGCGGCGGTGGACGTTGGGGGCATGATGGCTCTGTGTCCGTGGAATGGGTAGGGACTGACTGACCGAGGGGGGAGTGATCGTTGGATGGCTGGCTGATTGTTAAATGCAGTTGTACAGCATGAAATGAGCCTTCATTGCATTGCATTACTAACTTTGCGTTAGTGAGTGACAACTTGACGTATTTAAAATATAAAAAGCTGACAGGTGTTTATTTGTTTCCTAAAAACCCGGCCGAATCCGAAGGCCAAATTTGTATGTTTCGGCCGCAATGTCGGGCCCGAGCGAGGACGAGATCGGCGGCCCCATCACTCTGTTCGCATGCTGGTTTGTACGCTCGCCTCGGTTCGCACAGACTCGACCCGACAGACACTCGCACATCATGACATTTGCCATGAACTAAAGTATTGACCAAAAAGTCACGCCGAACAAGAACAGACACACTCGACGCAACATCCGCGCAATACTATGCAGTGTGTCAACCCGCAAGTCGCCCTCCTCTCAAACTACGAGGTCTTCACCTTGCTCAAGGCAAAGCACCAGGACCAGCGCAAGACTCACAATGCCGCTGTCCGCAAGGCGCACGCCGACGGCCGCCCCGCCCCAAAGATTGGCACCGAAATCGAGCGCCAAGTCTTTTCATACATGACAAAGGTCAACGACCTGCCGCGCCACTGGACCGACGACGACTTCACCTCGTTTCTCGAGCGCATCGCACGCTTTGGCTTGCTCAAGGGTGAGCAGCTCATGCTGCTCAACAACCGACCAAGCAGCATGACCGGATTGTTTACCGTACGCTCCATCGTGCTCTTCGGCAACTCCACTTGGATTGGCCCAGTGTAAACTAACTGACATTGGAACACGAAATCGTTGGTATGATAGTGCATCGAAGAGATTGATGAGCGTTTCACTCACGAACAGCAAGAGGAAATGCTGGCCATTATCAAGGAAACGCTACCTATCCCACCAGCACAACCGGCAGATTTGGTTTTGGACGGCGAGGAGCAGGCAGCGCCGAGCACAGATGCAATGGATTTGTCATGACCAACCTTCAGTTCTCGTCGTAAAGTAGTGTTGAAAGTATTTATCATTCATTCTTTTGTCACTGTTTCCTGCCCAGGAA